GTGCTTATGACATCCCTGTCGTGGATAAGCAAGGGGAAAGATTCTATAGTTCATTATTAAATCAAATTATAATTCTTCCAAAATAAAAGGACATTAATTGTCATAATACTGTACAAGTATGACCATCTTTGTGATAAAAAAGCAAGGATTCCAGAGTAATTCAACTGGTAAAGTTGTTCTTATTTGCAATACACATTAAAACAAATCGTCCTCATGAACATTTTGAATTAGATTGAGTATTTTTTTTGACTGAGACTTGGGTTCTTCAAGCGAAGCCAACTGTGCATCACTGAACATGGACAAGCATGATTGAGTAGAATATCTTAGAGCCTGTGTGTTGTACTGTTGTCAGCAAGAACACACCACTCCTCCATTCATGCTAACTCTCGCACTGTGTGACTGCAGGATAGAGTTATAATAAGAAGCAGAATTTTATTTGATAAAAAACAGGTTCCCCCTTTACTCTATAGTATTTGCACCACATTTTCAGGATTAGGATCTGCTTATTCGTTCTGCAAAAGGCAGCATCCAGGTACTCACCATTAACAGAAGCTCAGGTGGAGGTCAAATTCTAATCTTGCACTTCCATTGCCCTACACATACAGTATACAATTCCTGGCTGAACACAGCACTGTGCGCATCTTTTCTAGCATTTGGTATTTCACTTTGTTGCAGATGGACGTGTTTGACACTTGGTGTTGCTTGGAACTTATTTTCATCACTTTCATTTCCTACAAGCCAGACTTGGGTCCATTTCTCACTTTCAACCTCAGCCTTCCACTGAAAACATCTCCTTCTACCATGCCATCTGTGCTTTACTTTCAGTTCTCCTGATGTCATCAAGCCTTCCAGAAACTCCATTCAGATAGCAACCCAGGCCTAGAATTGAACCCAGGACTCCAGCACTGCAATACTGACCACTGTGTCACCCTCATGTTAAACAGAACTGTTTAAATCAGTGTGGTTTCAAATGAATTCTTGAGATTTGATCCTGAATGAAATCTAAATGATTGTAGCTTTTCAGGACCAGTGAGACAGACTCTAAGAAAAACTAAAAGCATACGGTTCTGTATCACAAATCCTTTTTACCCCATTCAACTTGAAAATGAGACTCCTATTGTGTAGTGAATCATTGGACACTTTGGTCATTCAAATTTTGATATTCACCTAACTGGATATTAAAGACAAACATTGTTCATCTGTATCCCATGCAGTGAGCCTGTAGTTCAATCCCAGCTTGGAACAATACATAATCAACTAAATTACTCTGTACAACCTATGTGATTCCAAGTGGTTATTTTCATTTCTTCAATTTTTTCCCCCCCATCTAAAACGTAATTTTAATGTACAAAAAGCAAGCTTAAATTGAAGTGATTGAAAGATCAGTTATAAAGCAAATAAAATATTTCACTCTGATCAATATTAGATGAAATGAAGACAGTGGAGAGAAGAAGCACAATGAAGTGGAATAAATGAAGCAATTTCTTGAGAGTTATTAGTCGCACACCTTTTAAAAAACTGGAGTAAAATGAGCTTGAAATAGCAAATATCTGGGACAGCATAATATGAACAGTTTTGACCATGGAAGGCAGGGACAGTGTTCACATGTGAATGACCTTAACAAAACTGTACTTGGTTTAAAAAGTTAAAAAACATATCTAAATTTTAAAAATAATATAATCTTTCTTCCCCAGAAATACAATTGTTACAACATAGCAATATGCATTGTTTTTCATATTGTACTGCATCTTCTTTGAAATATGATTAACATGCTCTTCTGCAAAAACAAACAAGACAACAATAGGCCGAATTCAAAATTGTTAATGAAAATTGGATTAAGTGTTCTGTAGCATGAACTGTATATTTCTTGGCCTTCTGAATTAAATGTCTTTATAATGTACATTGCTATGGAATGAAATACAAGATAGTGATTTGCAGAATGATGGCCTTATACAAAAATTGTTATTTTTATATCAATGCTACCCTGCTAAAATATTTTGCATATATTCTGAAAAACATGTTTTGAGTGCGATCAAATAAACTTCAACACACACTGATGTTAGAATGATGTTAGAATGCATTGGCCTGCCCTGGCACTCACAACTTCCCTGTGTCAAGTTTGGGTTACACGTTTTCAATTGCTGTGAGTCTCCTTACTTAATTTATTAATTATCTGCCAGTGTTTATTTTACTGTCAAATAATATTCAGTACAACCACTCACTAACATTTACAGAATCATTTTTACGAGCATGTAATTAGAAATCAGTTTATAAAACATGTGTTATGTTAAAGTACTACTACAAATGTAGGTTTCTAGACTGCACTTAAAGCAACACGTCACACATTATTAATGTACAGTATGCACCAGGGGCAGTTTACCTACTGTGGAATGAAAAAAACATTATGGTCTTAAAACTAAAATAACAGAAATAATCACCCAACCTAGATTGTATTTTATCGAATGAGAGATGGAGGAAAGATGGTATTCCACAGAAGTACTGCACTGTACAAAAAACTTGTTTTGGCTAAATTAATTTAGTCTTTGCAAAGATTCACAAAGCACTTGTTTGTTTCCCCTGCGTTTTAGTTCTGGACATTTTTTTTTTTTATCGAAACGAACCTCTAAATATAGCATATAAATGGGGCACAATCACTGGATGAAAAAGTTAGAAATGTACTACTGCTTTCCTGTAAAGAACGCTATCATGCTGTTAGAATCTGAACTGTAGCCGTGCGCTACACAAACTGCACAGGTCCCAGTAATGTCAGGGGAAATTCGACCCTCGGTAGTACAGCAGCCATTCTACCGTGTCTGTGCCTTAGACCGGCTTGGGAGGTAAAGCATGTAGCGAGCACAGTGCAGCGAGCATCGCCGTGCAAGTGCAATGCTACCTCGTGCAGCTTTGGCAGGCTCGAGGTCAGACACGAGTAGAATAACGTGGATTTCGCAAACAAAAACAGTTTGTAATCTTTTCTAGTTCATCGATCCGAGGAAACCAAAATATTTTCTAAGAATCGTCATCTTCAAAAACATAAAATCATTTTCTCCAGAGGTTTATTTACCGCTTATACAAGAAAAATTACCTACATAAATCAGTATTAATATCCCTACCCGTTTCATTGAGGAAATTACATGTTTTCTTTCTAAAAAATAGCGCGCTGGAGGTGAAAATACATATAGTTATAAAACGAACCCTCGAATTATCCAAAAAGAGGTGTGTTTGAAGTTTTAAATTGAATATGAAGGGTCAGGGAAAAACATTAAGACAGAACATTAATATCTCTCCATACCTCAACATCCCAATCTACTCAACTATACACAATCTAATCTTAAAAGAATATCGCAAATATTTGACGAATAATTAGTTTTTAAGACGTCATGAAATAAAATTAAACCTCGTTTTCAATTAGAGACCACTGCCACGGTCCATCTACAGTATCTGGAAGTATATTTATTTGATGTGAATGCAGAGCAGAGGGTGCCTCGTTTCAACACTGGAAATCATTTAAAATTGACAGGTGTCACTATATAATAAAAATAATTGCTTACACTTATATATCGCTTTTCTGGACTCTCCACTCAAAGCGCTTTACAGGTGGTGGGGATCCCCACCATCACCACCAGTGTGCAGCCCCGCCTGGAGACTACCTAAAGGGTCTAAAAGACTAAATGGAGACCAACAATACCGCAGTAAAGGAGATAAGTCTTCTTTCATTTTTCAGTCTGTAAGTTTTGTTTTCAGTTTTCTTGTGCCTTGTGAATTGTCTCATTTTATTAGTTTACATGCTGATTACCTGCTCGTTTTCTATCAAATTATATGCGGTAATTATATGCGTTGCGTGAAGTGCGTGTTTGTATTATACTTTAAAATAACTGGGGTTCATGTGGTACAGCGGAGTTCTGAAGTTCATAACAACGAATCACGTGTCGTCTACCATAAGAAATAGGTGACAATGATTTTGGTTAAGAAATTAAGTAGATTTAAAGCTTCTGTATTGTGTAAGCAATTTCTTAAATTCGTGTGGTCTCATAAATTGGGTAGATAAACTGCAGGTCTCTCAAGAGCATTTTGCTTAACTAAAATTCGAAGAGCCGAGACAACCCAATCGGACTCAAATGAATGAGGACTGGAAGGGAAATTAAAAAAGTATATATATATATCAAATTTACTTCGAAAATGAATTACACAATATACTGTATGTAATTAGCCAGTCGAAATCAATTCGTACACTGAAACGATGGGCAATGTGGTGAATCTTATTTGGCAATTAAAGCTTTAATGACAAGTCTTACCTCTCGATATGTAGTATTTACTCTAAATATCGAGGTTTCTTTTGTGAGAAACATACACTGACACTGAAAGCTGATTATGTTTTACCGAGTTCCAGACCTTGTAGGATGAAAACGAGAACATGTTGGCTGTCATTCCGCGGTATGTGAAGACACGAGGCGCAACTTCGTTTTTTGTTTGTTGTCCGAAGAATTACATGATTTAGCTTTCACAGAAAACAAAAGATGTAATCAGAAACTCAAAGCGCATGTCCCTGGTATAATTATATTTTAAAAAATGAACAAAACACAGATTAAAGCAAGTAGAGTGAGCAGTGTATTCATCCTCCGTCTCTCTGTGCGTCACTTGTTGCTTTCAAAGTTGCTTTTGTAACTTTTATGCGGTTATTAGTACATTATACAGTATATTTGTGCTGCATTGTATGAAAGCCAGGGACATGTAGAGATCGGTTGAGTTCTAGGATTCATTTTAATTTGGTTTCTGCAAGCACTGGGTCGTATATTTTCCTCAAGCCCCTTCCTTCTCTATAAAAAGTGAAGTACTTATTTTTATAAAGACGACGAGTTTACAGCATAACCTGCTGCAGTATACGATATATAGGAATTGTTGTTCAAAGCTATTTTGGTAGATAAATTAGATACACATAAATTAGACGTAACTGAATAAAGGTAAAATACAGGTACAAAAAGTAATCTTTAAATATTGACCTGCTTTCCACGAATGTTTGCTCGGTGTCTGCTGATGCTGCTGGAGCTGTCCGTAGCAAAGGTGCTGAAACAGATCACCGCTCTCTCTAGTTGAATGTCGACTGACTGAAGATAGGAGTGATCTGGATGTGAACAAGTTATATTGTGTCAACAACAACAACCGCAGCAATAACGATAAGATGAAGAATGTAAGGTCACACCGATGATACAGGAGAAATAACTGTAAAAATAAGCACATTGCACTTAATACAGAGCACTGCACGACTAGAGTACAATGTTCTCTATATCGTTTTGTTAAATAAGGAAATGACTGAAATAATCTATTCTTCACACTACTTTGCTGACAGCTGGTATTGTCCACAAGCCGTCACTAAATGTTATCACCGTTATTAAAGCAGCTCCACCGTACCATTCCAATTAAGACTTGTGACTTACCATCGCCCCGGAGAAAGAGAGCTACAGGTGGACTCCACAGCAATTCATCTGTGTTTTTTATTTCTCCATCTTTTTATTTCTCTCAATCCCCACATACTGTATGGTGAATAATTTACTGCATAACGTGAAACCCCAGTGATGGTGGCTATTGGTTTCCTACTTTAATTTTGCTGGTGCTTCGGAGACAGAACTGTTTTTATATAAAATTCGAGGAGAGGGGGAAGGGAAGTCCTCAGGGAGGAGGGCTTTAAACTAACCAATTGGGCCTTCGATCTCATTACACATCTGTGGATGACATCATGGTTCGACTGCTTTCCCGGAACCAAGCCGGTAACAACAGGAATGTGACAGAAGTCTTTTAACGTTGCAGCACAAAAAGTTAAAAAGCAAATAATAATAATAATAATAATAATAATAATAATAATAATAATAATACACCGGTTATATAAAACGTTGAATAAACTAAAAACGATTCATAAAGCTGAACCAAAATAAGCAGTGAAGCGGGAAGGTCTGTGGATGATTTAAAATCAGGTACAGCTGTGGCTGATTATATTCTGAACATTTAGCGTCTGTTAGCTTTTACCATCAGGCAAATTCATACACACCCAAATTCACGCTTTGTTCGGAAAGTAGCAGTGAAATAAAGTATATAGTGAAATAAATATAGTTATTGATAAAATAGATAATATTCTTAAAAATTAACTTAGGTGCTGTTTAAAATAAACCAATAAAAAGCTTGTTTCACAAAGCGCAAAAAAAGAGAAATCATAACTTCATATATGGGTTTACTCATGTATCAAAATAATATACTGTATGTCAACGAACAAGACGAAAGTCTATTTTTAATCCTTCATATACGTATTTAAGTCAATTGTGCAGGTTCTCATATAAAATGACGATCTGGAGAGCACCTTTTTATACAACGGGGCCTTTCTAGAGCAATTTTAGTGAAGTACTGTACCTTGTTTCATGGCTAAAACAGCCCATCCCATCCAAGATTTGAAATAATGAACCTACACGATGTGGAGTCCGGAACATTAACCACTGTGCTGTATTGTGGGAAAAAATGAAAATAGCAGCAGAACTATTAAAACCCAATCTTTTAATTTAGTTAGATAAGATATTGGCAATTATATTTACAATATGAAGTGCTTTGGATTGCATGATGCACATTCTACTTCTTAATCATGGACGTCACTGTGCTCAAATAGATAAGTAACTTTCTCCCCTATTGCTTTATCCCTGTTTTATCTTAAAGGAGTTCAAGCCTGATTTATTGTATAATTGTATGAATTGTGACATGAATTTCAATCTCTAGTAGTGGTCATATATTACCACTACTATGGCAGACAGATGTATTTACCACAATTTATTTGAAGTAAATTGTGTCAATTATAAACATTAAATCTCAGGAACAGTATCTGAAAATGACCAGTTTAAGAGACTGTAAGATAACAAGCAAACTCTTTATGAAATCAAGTGAAATAATCACGAAGAACCATTGCATTTCCACTAACAGCTCCCCAGAGCTGCATTGTGTGATTAGTGCAGGAAAAAAACAACATTTCAGAGTTCTGCAAATGTTTTGAATTTGCAAGGGAACATTCCCACTCAAACAAATTTGACTGGGATGAAACCCTCTGGTCAGATGAGTCTAAATTCAACATTGTTGGCCACAGAAGAAGACCATATGTCCAATGACGAAAAGTTGGTCAATCAACACAAGTTTGGACAAAAGTGAAATATGATTATGGGTGTGTACATATTTGGGCTGCATATCTTCCAGAGGTGTTGGTAACTGAATTCAAATGGAAGATTCCCCCAACAAGGCAAATTAATTTGAACTCTAACTTCCATTAAAGGATTAATAGGCTGGGGCTTTGCTTTTTAGCACAACAATGGACTGCAAAAATGCCGCGGTAAATGGTAAAGAGTAATTCAGTTGAAAATGAACAAACTGGAGATGTCTAGAGAGGCTTGAAATGAGGTTCATCATTTGCCTATTGATGTGATTTACCTGGAAAAAGAAATGTTGTAGTTGCCATGACATTAAAACAATTTATTGTTGCTAATGTGTAAGAAACCCCTGTTTTGCTGCAGGTAATGTAGAGCTTTTGTACAATAAAACCCTTCTGATTTTTCTCTATTTAATTTTCATTAGAATTCTCTTTGGTATCCTGGTGTTTGCATTCAAAAGCACAACACAGCACAGCAGTAAACTGCATAACATTTTTATTGAATTCACTTTTAAATGGAATTTATATTTAAATAATAAAATTACCAGTAATTAATTCACCTAAAAGAAAGTCTTTCCTCTTAGAAACATAAAATATTTTACCATAATAGCAGAGAACAATCTAGAAAACGAATGGTAAAACCATAAATTGATTGGGTAAATTTTAATTAGATACATTTTAATTAGTAGTTCAGGTGGGTAGCTGCATCACCATGCGTAGGCTGCAAAGGAACAAGTAATAGGTTTATTCCATGCTGAAAAAAAGAAGAACGAGAACACAACGTTTCGGCCGTGGAGCCTTCTTCAGGTGACACACCTGAAGAAGGCTCCACGGCTGAAACGTTGTGTTCTCTTTACTTTACTTCATTACTTGTTCCTTTACATTTTAATTAGGTGTACAATGTAGATGTTTCAATAAGTGGATCTTTGATAGTAGTAGAAAGATTACCTTTAATGCACTACTAAAAAGCTTTCAGTGAATTATTCATTAACATTGTTTTCTTTGACAGTGCTAAATCCTTTGTGTGGATTTGTAATACTGTGGCAAGAGTAGTAAGTCAGGTTTTGGAACAGACTCTGGCAAAGGAGAGTACTGAAATAACCACTGAAAGATGCTGCTGGTGAACAAAACGCCATTTGGATTGACTTTGCCCAATCCAACAGCATTCACAAACATAAACTCACCCTGAGTTTCTGCAGGGGCAGGGGGTAGCTCTATTGTCCACTGAAAGATGCATTCCCTTTTCTTGGACCAGTGTGTCTTCACCAAGAGCTTGTCCTTTTCTTCAGTTTCATACACTCTTTGTAATTGGTTCTGAAGTATCCTCCAGCACCCTGTTTTTTTTGTCTTGGATCAACTGTTCCTGTGTGGTTTTTAGGTCAGTTAGTGTTTACTTCAGTTGTGACTGTGTCTCACTGAACTTCATCTCTCTTTGAGTCCCAACTGCCTCTCTATTATTTTGTCCTTTGCTTGGCTCAGCTGCTGCTGGACTACAGCAAATCAAGAAGGCTTCTGTACTGCTCACACTCTGCCTGTATTGTTTTCTCTGCCACTTTTAGCTTCATTTTCAGGTTTAGTACTTCAATGGCCTTCTGGCTGAGACATCTTGTGCTTTAAGTTTTAATGCAACCACTTTTTCTGCTTGGTGTCTAGGAGTATCTGTGGAAAAAAGACATGAAGTGTCTCCATCATCTCGGTTTGCCACTAGATCAGCTGACACTCTGCAACATCCTTTGTGATCTGAACAGCATTTAATTTCTGTTTGCACTCTTGAATTACTTCCCAATTTTTCTCTGTTTTCAATCTTTCATAAGGCCTGTACCAAACAAATCCTCTCCTCTTTCCTTCAGTTGTGTCACTGGTCAGGTGCTACGAGGGCACCGGCTCATTCCCCACAGAATTATGGGTAATGTGGTCCAGATAAGAATCTCTGTCTTGTCTGAACCTTATGCCCTCTAATAAACATCATTCTGTGAAATTAATGACAGTTTTCCATCTTGCTTCCCAACTTCTATTGATTTTGCAATGTCCCTACTTATTATGGACTTTGTGCACAGTTATAGTAGTTCAGTAGCACTTCATTTAGGTAAGTTCCACACTGAGCACGGTTCACTTCATGAGGTTGTTTGCTTGTTTTACCATTAAGAGCCACATCAATCTTCTTCCTGAGGTCCAAGCTCAGCTGTTTTTATTGTACATTGTGAAAAGTGGAGGATTGTGGACAGTCCATGTTTTATAAACCCCTCCCCAATTGTCTTCTATCTATTCTGCACTGTTATGATGGATATTGCAGTGTAGTTAAATCGTGCACACTATTTTATCCTGTACATTACAGAGAAGAAAACATTATTACTAAATAGATATTGAATTGTCATCTTTTCAGTTTCATCCTCTTTGAGCGTCAATAACTCTACAGCTACACAGCAGTAGCACTCTCAAAATAAACACCAATTTGCAAGTCAGCAACCATCATAAACGAACTATCAACACTTCTATGCTTTCATGGAAAATGCTATGCTCCTTTTTCAGTTTATGTATAATGTTGTGATCTACACTAATTCAGGTGTTTCAGACTAATTGTTCTGATAACGAACAGAATCATATTGCTTTTTTGTGATGTAAAATGTCTGTTTTTGTATCCAAAACTAGCTTTATACTAGACGTCCAAATAAAAATGACGCCATAAAAACGGAATTTCAGAAATCCCAAAATACAATTTTTGTTTGTTTTATCACAAAAAAGTCTCAGTGTTCACCAGTTATCATGAGCTTTTATCCCTGTTCCATTGTGAACTACTACTGTTCATAAAAGAAATTGTATGACTTTGGTGTGCATTTGATATTTATCAATTAACTTCACAACATTGAACATTTGCAGAAAGACAAAACTTACTTTGAAAACAACGTGATTTATTTTTTCCTTCTTTTTTGAGCCGGAAGCAGGGGGCAAGAGAGGGCGTCGCCCCCTCAACTGAACTGTCCCGCCCCCTCAGTTTTGGACAGAAGGATTTTTGAACATTTTCGCTGACTTAACTTGCGCCTTAAAACATTATACCAGTTATACTTTGTCAATGGTCAGATAACTACACTAACTAATTCACACCAGAAGCGACAGGCTCGTTTCTGGTTGGATGGTGGGTGGACCCACTTGATTAGAGCGCGCATTGTAATCCAAAACGCCACCCGTTAGCTAATGGTGCTGTCGAGATTGCTGGCACTATAAACATGGACATCAGAAAACGGATGCATACAAAACTTGGGGCTCTTCCAAGATGAAAACGAGTGGTGGGGAAGTCCCTGAAGGAGCACATGATCGAGGGGACATTTGGTCAACACGAAAAGGACGTTGAGCAGGAGTGTAAACGGCTGTTTATTAGCACTCTTGACTCTGTTGTTGAAGAGATGGCTGCGTGTTTCAGCGAACGTAACAGCAAACTATTGGAGGCTTTGAGCGCCTAAGATCCGGGCAGCCAAAACTTTCTGGATGTTGGAAAAGTTAAACCGAAGACGGATATGGTAGAGGCTCGGTTTGCTGTTGCTCACAAGTTTCTACAAACTGGGCTAACGGGCTCCAACGGCAAAAAACGGACCCTGGAAAAACTTGTTCAAAGCTGCTCCAGCGTTTTCGGGACGATGCCCGCGTAGGAGAGCTCATTCTCGACTTTGAAGAAGAGTTTCTGAACACAGACGTAGCCTGATGCACAGACGGAAAGCCCAGGCGACTCAGTTGGCCCTCGAAATGGATCTATCCAGCAAATTTCGTGGAGAATGAAAGGGAAAAACTGCTCGGGAAGTTTAACTCGACGAAGACAAGACTCCACTTTATTGACTAAGGGTAGGCTAAAATTAATTATTTCATGGGTGGTTTTCTGGCATGGCTAGTTTGGGATTATGCCGGTATTTTGTTTGATTAGCGTTCGCCTGTTTTGGTGTATTTTTACTTTAGTCGCTGCGCTGATTTTGCAGGTTGGCTGAAATGGTGTGGAATTATTTGGCTTGACAGTTGTCTAATGTGTTCAGGGTTATGTTGTGTGCATGAATCGTTTGTTACTATCAAGCTATGGTGTAAAGTGAGTGTTGACGTAGGCCACCTGTTTTACTGTCTGCAAGTCGTTACCTTCTATCACGAAGCACTAATTAGTCGCATGGTTGCGCGAATTCACTTGGGTAGTTGCAACGGCTCCGTTTCAACCGAAATATCACAGCCCCCCTCAGAATTTAAAACGGGTCCCCAGCAGATTTTTCCCAGGCGCCGGTGGTCTAACATTTCCTCCCACCTATTGGGAAAATCCTACCAAGCGCTATTTCGCAAGCAGTTACGTCATTGTTCTCGTGTTTAGCGGCACGCCCATAAATTAATGCAACTTCTGCGTGTATATTTTGATCGAAGCTTAGTATTTTATGTTTTTCATTAGTGTGGTTTTTCTTCAACTTCTATTCTATCTGTGATGTTAATTAAACGTTTTTCTTCAAGCGTATTATACGAAACCAGCTTGTTTTGGTTTGTTATCCAAATCGCCATTCATTATAGTCTTAGATGAATGACTAGCTACAAACACGCATTTTAACGCGTTCATATTTCGTTTATTAATGTTCACACACGCATAAAGAGTCTACTTTATCTCTACCATTGCATGCAGAAGTGTTTACTTTTAGGAATTTATTTGCAGTAGATGGGCACATTCAAAATGTTCCCAATATAACAGTCAACCTATATATGTAAAAATGTGTGGCAAACATAAGCCTGCGTGTCTTGATACTGTACCTCTGGATTTTGCTCGTTACTTGCTCCAGAGTTCGGCCTTGTTTTTCTTATGGTTTTGACCATAGCCTGGTTTTCGTCTTTGCTTCTGATCTAGTTTTTTAGCTTGTTTACATTGCAGTGTTACTGTCCATCTCAGTGGGTAACTGAACCTACCTTAAAATCCCTTTACAGTCATGAGCATCGTAGACAGACCCTGTGCTGTCTCTCCACCACAGAAACTGGAACAGGGCATCCTGAATTATGCAACCTAGTGTCCTAGGCGCAGAGATGTTCTCTTTTAATGAAATTTGTTGACTTCATTAATTTTCTTCAGGAAATCGTCGCTTCTCAGGGATTCTCGAGCAGAATATAAATACTGCAATGTCAAACTTCAGGAAAGTCTCCAAACACTGTGCAGCATTAGTTTAAGAGACTGTGGTTTACTCAGAATTGTTTTCTTCCTCTGTATATGCTTGTGGTGCAGCAGTGTTCTCAAGATTATCTATTATTTCAGCATCTGCCTTGGTACCCTGAGAGATTTTAATCCTCTCTTCCACTTCATTGTCTTTCAGTCTAGTCTAGGTTCTGGTGGTTTCTACTTTTCTTAGAAACAGACTTCAGTTTTCATTGATTGAAGAAGCCTTCAAATTCCTCTTCTGAACCTCAACAAACATAAATCCATCCATCCATTTTCTTACTGCTTTATCCAATACTGGATTGGGTGCAGTCCAAGTCAACTAATCAGCCGAGGATCATAAAGACCCTACGATCTGTTTTTATTAGGGGGCTCCCTGCTCCTTGGAGATTCCATGCTCTTAAATCTCGTCACCTGCCTCCTGTCGCTGAGACAGTGTATTCTTTTTATTTGAGCCAGTGAAGAGTGTGTAGAGATGCAAAAAATGTATTCAGAAGCAGTATCTTGAATTAGTACTTGAACTTAAACTACTAATCTTATCTACTACTTTCTAGAAATAATGAATGATCAAACAATATAGAAGGGAAACAGTTAATTGTACAACTTAATGGCCAATAATAATTTTGCTTAGTAAATGAGCAAACGGCAATTCTGGACTATTATTTTTGTCTGCGTGTTATGCCTTGCCCCACTCTACGCTATCCACAGTGGGCTGTGTCACTGCTGCAGTGGCCGGTGGCCATGCCTCTGCTCTGGTCCGAGTGCCGTGGAGGCAGCTTATAGAGAGCCCCTGGCTGTCATCGGATCGGTCACTACTACAAACACTCTGAGAGTATTTAAACCCCGCGCAGTCTCTCCTCGGCAATCCAGCACTGACTCTTCACTTCACTCCTGAGCCTCCTCAGTGTCCCAGTGGAGCCCTTCCTGTTCCTCGGAGCTTTGCCCATGGCTGTGCTATCCAGAGGATTCCGACCGGAGGACGGTTCTGATCTCAGCAGACGTCTCCCTCGCCCGTTCTGGACGTCACCTGGGAATCCGGTTCCTGAGGACAGAGAAATGGAAATGAATCAAACATTTAACACAACAATGCAGGACATTTTAAAGTTTAAAAGCTCAGATATGTGCTATTAAAAAGGACAGTAAGGTGTGTGTGTGTGATATATATTTATATAGCAGCCTGGAATTGTGTTTATATAAAACACAGGTGTAGGATCTTTAGTGAAACAGACAAAAAATGATATTTCCTTTAAATGTGAAAAACGCCTACTATGTTCCACGTTTAGTATTAAAGGATTTGTAGTTATTTGCTGATGGTGCTTGTGAAGGAATGGGAAAAGGGTGTAACTTGTTGTGCTTGCTGTTTAAACCTAACTAAAGCCTAGGCAACTAGTCTGGTGATGACTGTGATGACCCAAAACTTAGCAAGACCTCAATTATGTCCATGTAGTTATTAAAATACTCTGTTGCTATATAATACCTATAGAGTTTGGCACTAAGACTACTATGGACATTTCTATAAGGCAATATGTAATCCAAAGTGCTCCTCCTCATGCATGCACTGGAGCCGGGCAGAGTAAAGAGTCACGTGACATCACAATGGCTAGGGTTTGTTGCTGGGATTCTGAGGTTGCTACGGAAACAGTTACTATAAAGATTGAGAGAAATGGCAGAGAATGTATTTGTCCATGTATAACACGTATAATTAAGAAACAATCTTAAATGAGTAGGTTTTGTCATAATTTTCTTGCTCTTCCATTTCTTTGTGTGTTTCTGCTACTGTCTATTTGCTATTCTGTATATTCAGAATGATTCTCTGATGTTTCTACTCCTGTTACTATTTACTATTCTGGAAAATTCCGTATAAGAATTACTTTTGAGTTGGATTAGAAAAGCGTTTGTCGAAGCTTTGTTCTGGTCAATGTGTTCTAGTATAAATGAGCAAATGAAAATGACCAACAGCAGGAGTGAAGGAGCATATAAAGTGCTTCTTTATCTAGTATAGGGTTCAGTCTTCGTATCTATGAACAAACAACCATACAGCAGGCACATTGACCCTTTATACATTGTATCACAAAGACTGCTGAATTTACATGACCTATTACTAATAAAGCATCAGCAATAAAGTAATAAATCATAAGTAAGGACTGAGAAGTTTGTCATGATGGGAACATAGATTGAGCAAAGTAAGTGAAATCTTAGAGGCAAACCTTCTTCACACCTAAAACGGAGACCTTTCAATTGGACACTGACCCAAAGTACAAGGCCAAAGCTATGGGGTGGTTTAATAATAAGAAATTGATTGTCCCATTCAAAATCAAAGTGACTTGAATCCTATTGTGAATCTGTGGGAAAAACTTGAAAACTATAATCCAAAAGGAATCCCTGAGCAACTTGAGAGAGCTTGAGAAAATCTGTCAAAAAGAATGGGGAAAAAAACTACGTTGAGATGGTGTGAGAACCCAATAAGGCTTTAATTGTTAAGAAAGGAGCTTCCACCAAAATTTTAGCTTGTATTAGATTTAAAAATGTATATGTGTCTTTGTGTGATTTCACAAAATGGGAGACCATAGGAAGGGCCTAATCACTCATATGGAAACTTTAAACTTTTGCAAGGCACCGAACATACAGTATGCAGAAAGAAATTCAGGTGAACTCAAATGAAACATTATTAATCTCTTCAAAAGAAACTTGTTTAACTTTTTCAGCAGCTTTTTGTCTTCAGGACATCCTTTCTTGTCAGGGGTAACAGAAGCACATACAATAAGTAAGTTGTGTGCTAATTTTCAACTTGTATTTAATTTCCTGGTTTCAAGAACTTTTATTTTGAGTTTTAATAGTTATAGTCACTATATAACTCTACATGTTTAGTAAATACTAAGTTGAATGGCTAGCATGAAACCAACAGTATTAGGTTAATTGCTGACTTCTGTTATTGAAACCTGGCCTAAACAAGAGATTCAAGTAGGGAAAAGAGAAGAAAAGAAACACAACGTCTGGAATAAACCTTTCCTTGTTGCCGAGATGCCTACTCCTCTGATGTTTTCCTGTGAATAGAAACCTAAATGAAACCAGCTGCATCCGATCCCTCTGCTGCAAATGCCTGCACTTACTGTCTCTCTGCATTGCCCTTCAGCCACCCCTCAGCACTTTAAACCAAGAATGTCGCCTCCGAAAGACCATTGCTCTTTAACAGTTCTCTTTCCATGTTTGGCCACCACCTATAGGAGTGCCGTCCTTCTGATGTGACATTAAACCAGGGCTCCAACTACTTGGTCATCAAAGATCCCATGACTGTAGGGGTGTTAACTCTGATTTCTTGGGAAAACTTTCTTTCCATGTTTGCTTGACTCAGGCCTTAATTTGCCCTAATTGCACTGCTCCACCTGAGATGTGGATTACAAGGAGATGTAATGGATTCTGGAAAATTTTAAAACATAATTCATACAAGGTAAAGTACTCAGTAACCCTTTAATAGATATGAATACAAGATAACAACATGTTTTTTTATTTGGATGTAATGTACTTATCATAAATTGTGATGTAAAGGTTTTGCCTCTTGAAAGAGGTTGAATGCAGGGAATTAGTTATTATATAATTGTATATGTTTTAATAATATATTATTTTTTGTCTGAAATATTTTGAAAATACCTATTACCTTTCATTACAATTAAATTGATTTGGATTGAGTCTAGGAGTGTACCTAGGGTCACTGTCAAACAGAAAAACAAATCACTCACACACAAGAGGTTGTCTTGAGTGCGTTGCATGTGCTGAAAACAGTATTTGTCACGCTTGTAAACCCCTCCTCTTGAGGACTCTCCAGCCTTTCCTAGTTTTGTACTTATCTCCTGCCCCCAGTCCTATAAAAGCCAGACGTTCCTGCCAATCTGGGCTCAACTTTGGAAGATGGAAGCCCGCCTACCCGCGGATCCAGGAGTGACTCGACGGCATCGGCTTCACAACAGTGTTCTAACCGTCTGGGACCGGACCTGGGAGCGTCTGGACCCTTTGCCGGATCCCGCTCCGGCTTTTAACTCTGTTTGTCAGGATGGATTACCCGGTCTTGGATCATTCTTGGATTTGCCTCAGACTCCCCTGGACTTGTTTGCCTCGGACACCCCCCCTGAACACCAGTGCACCTTGGACACGCCCCCCGTTTTCCTTCCGGCCCCTTTGCATGCTTTTTACCTGTGTTTTCCTCACTCCTCTCTGGATTGTGCTGTCTGCATAGGGTCCTGCAAAAACGCTTCTTGACAGAATTAACCTGGTTTACGAGAGGAACAGCTCTTAATATTATGCCACAAGACTGTTTTACTTCATGCAGTGCACAGTCTTTTTGTTTCCACAGGGCTGATTCTTCTTCAAGCTAAAGTATGATCTTAACACTCTATTTTTATACATGTTCTTAAAGTAAAAATTAGTGAAAAATAAATTAATCCATTTACAGCCTTGTTTGTACTGTGTTTGTCTACTTTTTTTAATTTCATTTGTAATTACCTAGGAGAAACATAACAACCAATAGCTCTTATATGGACGATGTCATCTTGTACTCAGTAAACAAGATCAGAGCGGACCACAACCATGCTTTAGAAAATGACATGTTTTATGATCTCATATTTCAATTAAAGTTGAAATTACCTCTGGAATGCTATTTTTTCTGTATAATAGGAGCACAGTAACATTTTTTGTAAGTACTTTAAGTTCTTCAATGGGAAGGACGTTGGAGTTTTTTCTTTATCCCCTTAGGGACCCTATTATTTAGCAGAGATCAGAGAGCACTCTGGGCTCAAATGTGGTAGCAATCACAGCTTGGATATCATGATTGAAGTTGGAGTCCTCACATTAAAAGCCCAAGGCAAAAGGTCTAGTAATAAGAAAATACTGTTTTGAGTAAATATGTCCAGTTTTCCAGATTAAGGTAATCATCTGTATACAGTATATTATACTTTACCATTTAAATAAGGTATGTTTTCTTTTCCCTAATTTATTTTACAAGCTTGGACTTTCATCTTTAACATGAGTATCCTTCTGTGCCTGTGCCGACTTCTCAACATTGGCATATCTACCTGTAAAACTAGGACTAAACCAATTTTTAATTACAATGCACATATATCTGGCGCCTCTCAGATAGAATTTAGTCGACCACAGCCACTCAACACTTTGTTGTATTCACATAACGGTGAAAAATTCATACAAATACAATTAATCTTTAATGCATGTTTTCATCTTTAGTCATTAAAGAACTTACAACAGTTTTTTCTAATTGTTGTTGTATAAGAATAAGCATTTATATTAAAAAATATAACTTTTTTTTTAAATTCTATTCAATAGCATTATCTAAGCACTCTATGGCAAACTGTTGCAAAGGCATATATTTGACTGCTTGTTAAACAATACTTGCAGGCCTATGATTGTCTTGGACCAGGAATGATAATCGCCATTAAGCAATTTATTTCACCCTAACACACCCATGGGCACTATTAGACCTGTTGGATTTGATTTTTACATGTTTAATTTACAACTCCGGCTCTGTTCTCTAACATCTTCAAGCGATTTTCAGTTATACCCAAGGCGCTATTAATTACTGTTTTAGACCTTATGAAAGCATTGTGAAAACAGACCACACAGTCCATCAGAGCTCAGATTGGTATTGCTTTTTTTTACTTATTAGACAAAATATTGGATAAAACTTAAATTGGGTATAGTAGTAGCACCAGTGGCAAGTTTTTTTCCATTTTTCTGATCATTTAGTCTAATTTCTTGGTTTGAGTAACATTTTCAAATCCAATGACTGGAGCACTTATGGATAGTTGACTTAATTGCCAATTTGAAACCCCAGCTAGGGTTAGAGTTAGCATTCCCTCACTACTTAGACATTGTTTGGGCCCTAAGTGAACTTTAGAACAAAATTTCATTAGGCTACTTTACATTTATACTGCATGTATTCTATGTATGAATTGTTGACAAAGGTATTATTTCTTCACCACATTTTGACTTGTTAATATTTGTTTACTGCTGTGTATGTTGTAAACTGCTTCGAAGTATTGCCAAGCTTGTCTTATTTAGTTTACTTTGAATCGGTCCTGTTCAACATGAATGAACACGTTATGTTCCTCATATTGTCATTTTTTTCAAGGACAGACCAGATGAAATGTATTTAGTAGTACAAAGCTTGGAGTAAACAGCGGTACTGTGAAATTTTCCTTAGTTTACTTCGCCCATTTTGAGTCAAGACTGCTCAACATGAATGAACATATTATGTCACTACTTTTGTGTAGGGGCAGATGAAATGAAATTCAATTCCGTCAAACGGTGAGTGGAGAAAGAAAACTTATTAAAAAAAATCTTTGCAGATGTGTAGTTAGCCACTCGAAAAGAAGCATCAACAACAGAAAGCATTTTGACTGTGAGCTGTGTAACCAGCGAGTAATGTCATGTGAGAATTTCCCATTGCCCTGTTTATAGCAGTAGACTCTCTAATGCTCACACACTTGCGCTACGACACAGAAGAGTGGACTTGGAGAAATAGCATAGGGTTTAGTGTGGCATTTGGGACCAGGCCATACTTGGTCCTTACTTGAACATGCTTTAATTAAATGCTAAGGATTTTTGAAATAAATATCTAATGTATATGTGTGTAAACAAGGAAAACCTGGTAGAGACACTAGTGATTATTAGTTATTGCATATTAACTAATAAGAATGCTCATGATTTGTGTTACTGAAATGACTTACAAAGGCTGAATTTGTTTCTTTTCTTAACTTGGGACAAATTACACAGAAAAGTACACTCATCTTTTGTACTCTAGCTTTTTAAAGAACAAATCATTTGATACAAAAATATTATTTGGAAAATAAAGAGAGCCCTAGACAACTTTTGATGAGAATGAATTTCTTTCTTTGATTAAAATGATCAGTGAACACTAGAAATGATCTACCCACGGAATATATTACAGAAGGATTGACCAGTTTTACATGGATTTGTCAATGTGCATATTTAATATACAGTGTGGTACTGAAATAATGGGAAAAACACTGTTTGAATCCTAAAAACTGAATGCATAAATAGTACAAAAACGTGTTGCCTGCTGTACAGTTTGTGCTAGGGTGGTAGAAAGTCCTTAAAAGAAGAGAGAAACAGATGCAAAAT